ATGCACCGGGCTCGGCGCATCATACTAACTGCATTGTATTTTCAATTCCAAGTTGAGTACTTGTTAGCTGTTGCATCTCATATGCCATGTTTAGAATAGCCGAGCCTATCTTAGTTGCATTTTGCATGTGTTGCACTAGGCATTTCTGTATAGTTAGGATCATGCATGGATTTCTAACATAGCTTCTGTTTTAGCTTGGAGTACTCGGTAAGTGTATATGCTTTAGCATCTTTGCATGTGTGTGAGTGACTGCCATGATAGCATGCTTACCATGAGGCTATGTGCTTATATGATATAACGGCTTGAATGCCTGTGGGTGAAGGTTGGGTTATTTGAATTGGAACAATTCATTAATTGTGAGTTTTAAAGTCCACTAGATAGTGGCAAAATCATGTTTTTCTAAGCCCACCCGAGGGTGCCAAATCTACGTCTTAGCCTACTTGCGGGTAGCACCATCAAACCATTTTCAAATAAACAAACATGAAATGTTTTGTTCCAATTCAGGCGACCCAGTCTATACTTGTATGCTGTGCGCATCACGTAGTAAATCTAGGCTAATAACCGAAATAAGAACGCATAATTTTTTCAAAACTAGATATCATGGTTAGTAGAGGCCGATCTTTGATCGGGCGAGCGGGGGTGCTCACGAAGTGACCTTCCCCAATCGTACCCAAGTTCCCAAGCCGAGGCAACTTTGGTGATGACGGACACGTGGCCTTAGGCAACGAGTCAGGGTTTCCCAAATCCCCCCAAAATAAATATTTAGGCGGCGACTCTGTATCTGGCAAAGCAGTCCATGTTTGGCACTTCTTTCTAAAAAATCTGTTTTCCAAAACGATTTTCCGGATTTGGGCTCTTTGATGAGTCATCGGTCTTGTATTGCACTCTGTGAGATTAGATACAGGACTGTGACACAAATTCAGTCCGAACTGTAGTGAGGCCCGAGGGCTCGTCTACAGGAGGCAGCAGCAGCAAAAAAGGTGGCACCAGTAACAGTTCCGGCAGAGGTCGAAGTCGAGAGCAAGGAATTTGTTGACTCAAGAAGGAGAAACCAGCAGGTATTGAAGTCACAGGTGGTTCTCGGCAGCAACCTGAGTGTCTGGCAGCAGTGATACAGACTCAAGCGTGGAGAGCAAGGCGTACTGACAGCAGCCCAGTCGAGAGCAAGGCGTGGGTGTCCGGCAATGGTAGTTCGAGACGGGTAGTTCTCGACGGCAATGGAGCTTGTGTGTCTGGAAATTATGGAGGTTGAGTGCCCAAGAGAGTCAAGCGTAGGGCCGTCCGACAATGGTGCAGGGTGTAAGAACGTGTGACTCAAGAGTGTATCAAGTGTCTTAGTCAGACGTGGGGTGTATAGCTGTGTGTTAGGTGGGGGCTCAAGAGTGTTTTTTTTTTTTTCCTCTAGTTGCTTTTTAAAATTTAAAACCGTGAGGCTAAGAGGTTGGTTGTAAGAACGCGAGTAGCAGTAGTAGGAGAGTGAATTTTTACTCTTCGAATCTCTCTCAATGAGTTTTATCTCCTTGTACATTCAAATTTCATATTTAATGAAATTTTTCTTTGCCGATCCAAAAAAAAAAAAAAATTTCACAAAAGTGAAGTGCCCATAAGATACATATTATTATTTATTACATTTCACACATGCATCCATGTTCATGTTCTACTGAATGCAAATCCGATATGCCCTTTTATTAGATTTTCTAATGTAATAGTTTAATGCCTTCTTCTTTATTGATGTATCACTTTATAATACTTTGTACTTATCAATAAAGATTCATTTACTGATAAAAAAAATAATAATAATTAATGCATTCTATTGTACTATATAAAAATGCACCAAAGCTTACAATTTTAACTTCCCACTTTTTCCCCCTAGTGTTATCTTGCTTCTCTTTTTTCCTTTCTCTCTCTGTTTTTTTTTTTTTTTTTTTTTTTTTTTTTTTTTGGAAGATGATTGAAAATTTACTTGTTTCTACATGTTAGGGTTGGCATTTGTTCATGAAAATGCAGAGATGCTTCTTAGAGAAATACAACACAATCTTCCTCGTTGGTTTGCTATTGTTTTTCCAGCAATGGTGGAACTTGCCCAAGAAACAGGTTTTGATGTTGCTGACAATCTAAATGGAGTATTGTCCCATGTCTTCTACAAGAGGCAACAAATTCTTAAAATGTAATTTGTTACGTACTTGAAATATGTCTAAAATTGCTTATTTACTTGGTTCAATATGATTAATAAGTAATAACATAAAAAATGACTAACATGCTTGCATTGCAGGGACGGGCTTGTAGATAATTATCACTATCGTCCATTATTGTCATATCTAGAGGCATTGCCATCAACAAGTGATATTGATCGGCAAGTAATTGTGAAGCAGTTGAGCGAAGATGGCTCTTTATTCCAATCACCCTCTGCCACAGCTTATGCATTTGTGGCTACAAAAGATAGAAAGTGCAAGGAGTACCTACAATCTCTTGTTCGAAGATGTCCTCATGGAGGTAAGTATATGCTTGCTTACATATACGTTTAGATCCAAAACAAAAACAAAAAAAAAAATTAAAAACACAGAAACTGAACACAAAACTGGACATAACCTTACATTGATTTCTATACAAATAAAAGAATTGTTAAATACATACATATATTCTTAGTAGGACTCGATTTTTGGTGCAGTTCCACCAATGTATCCCATGGATGAAGAGATCGTAAAGCTTTGCTTGGTAAATCAAATATTAGTGTTAGGATTGGCCGAGTATTTTAAGGAAGAGATTGAAGATATTCTTTCAAATGTTTTTAGGTAAAATTACTTTATACAATAATTTCTATTTGGAACCATATTTGATACATTTCAATGTTACGAACTAACTTTGTTAGATTTTTAAAATTTGCAATTGACACATTTAGGTCTTACAAGAAGCAAGGGTTACAAGGGACTAATCTTAATTTCATACCAGCAAAGATATACAAAGATTCTTTAGCATTTCGGCTCTTACGGATGCATGGGTATAATGTAACTCCATGTATGGCTTCTCCAATTTAAAAGAATTTCCCTCTCTCTCTCTCTGTGTATATATATATATATTATTCTTATATTTTTACACCATCCATATATATTAGTTTTTCCTTTAACATTACTAAAATAAAAGGAATTATTTACACAAATACCCCTTAAATTATTAAAAAGTATCACTTTAAACTCGTAAATCATAAAAGCATATAAGTGGATCCATAAACTGTTGAAAAATATCATTTTGTCCCTTAAAATATAAAAGCGTACAAATAGATCCATAAACTAT